AAAAAAAAAAAAAAAAAAAAAAAAAAAAAAAAAACCCAAAAAACCAAATGTGTCATTTTAGGGAAGTTATATTCCTAGATCTTACTTTATTCCTTTGTAAATGTAAATAGTAAAAGTAATTATGTCATAGAATAATTGTGAAGACCAATGCAGTAGTATCCAAAATGATATCTATCACCTATGTCATTTTTACTGCTGCTCCAGGGTCTGCTCTGACTGCTACTATTGCTATTATTTTTTTGGACTATTCTCAAAATTACTTGATTTTTAACATTTTACAGCTGCATTACCTGCTACCAAATATTAGTCTTACATGTGATTTCTAGGGGCTTATTAGTCCTAACTGTTCCTAGGGGTAATTTATATATGAGATGTGATCAGAAATCACTGCGAAAATGTAATTTTTAAAAAATTGATTATAACGAATGATACATTGGCATTAATACCTCTTAAAATGCTTCCCCTGGCTTTGAATACTTATCCAATCATTCTTACCACTTTCTGAAGAAGTTCTGAAAGTAGTCTTTCATGAGTGTCCTTAGTTGGTCAGGAGCACACATGGACACAGAGCTCAGCAGTGTTTGGGGTTGTGGGGAAAGTACCTGCTCTGGCACTGCCCCAGTGTCTTTTCTTCACCCAAGATCACACAAATGCTAGAGCAGGCACTCTCCCCCCAAACCCAAACACTGCTAAGCTCTGTGCCCATATGAGCTCCTGACAACTGTCCCCCAAACACTACTGAATTCCACATGGAAGGCTCTCTTTCCCAGAACCCTAAATATAACCAAATTCTAAGGCCAGAAGGAGAATCTCTGTGAAGATGAATAATTGGGATTCATGAGCCTTGTGGATAGCAAAGACAATCTAGATGAATGCCTGTGGAAGCTATTTCCTGCAGGCCCCCAGAAACCACTAAAATCCCAGGTCAAATTGAAACCTAACAAGCAGGAGTATTGCTTTGACCAGGGAATACAGGGGACAGAGAGGAGTGATCAGAACAGTGCATAGTTGTGAAGATACTACCTCCTACCTAACTGCAGGGACCTACTGAAGTTGCTGACCAGAGAAAGGCTGCAAAGAACTGGAACATAATTGTAAACAGAGGAGACTACAGGAAGCTGTGAACTAGGCAGTACAAAAGCAGAACCTGCTGCAGAATCTGAAATGGGAACCTGAGGTTGTTTCTTGTAAGTGGGAGAAGCACTGGTGACCCACTAAACATTCTGAGCTCACCATAAGCTCTTGACCACTGCATCCTTTGTGTGGTGTTTTGGTTTGTGTGTGTGTGTGTGTGTGTGTGTGTGTGTGTGTGTGTGTGTGTTTTCCTTCTCCCATTTGATATTTTTGAGTGGCAGGCCTTTGTATGTATGTGTGTAGGATTATAGCTATGTGTTTTAATTTTCTACTTTGCCTGTAGAACTGTAGAACTGTTGCCTGCTCACTCCAGAGGTTCTTTCTGCTCACTTCAAAGGTTCTTTCTGGATGTTATGTAATATTCTTGTCTATTCAACAGTTGGAAGCAACCACCTTCTATCTCTCCCCTCATATCCCATTTACAATTTCATCCTTCCCCTTGCCTTCGTTGTTCCCCCATTTATCTTCTGCTGTCTCTGAGCTTCTCTCCTTTATGATTTCAATTTTTAATTTTTTTATTTTTCTCTTTATTCCTCTCTTTTATGCATAAATGATTATGAATAATCTACAGTATATTAACATGTCACAGAAGGTCCCCCTCTCCAGAGTTGTTTGATAACACTGTCCATTTAAAGTTCTTCCCCCTTCCTCTTCCTTTACCTGCCCTCACATCTTCATTAGTTTCCTCACCTGACACCTTATTTTCTTGTACATGAAGACTATTATATTTTTTTCTATTTTATAGTAATGTGAGGGGCATAAATTTATGAACAACTGTATATGAGTGCTAACTACCCCTTTTGTTTCTCCAGTGTTTTACATTGACCTTTCAGGTTATCTTTCACCAAAGGTTGTTGCTTACAACTTTTAAAAAAGGGTTTCTGACAGCTTATAAATTAGATACAGTCTCCATAAAGATCATCTTATTTTCTACATACAAATCCTTCCCTTTACGCCTCTTTTTGCCCCCACATATATCCTGTCAAACCCCCTCTCCGCCTTCCCTTTTTATGGTTGTAAAAGCAGTACCATCAAAAACTACTTTTTTTGGTCTGCTTTTGTTTCCTTTTGTGCTCCTGTTTTCCTCAACTTTTCTTCTTTTCTTTTTTCTTTTTTCCTTTTATTTTCTATCTCCCAGTCATTTCTTTACCATTACTAATACTTTGTGTTCTTGGGTTATTGAAAGAATAAAATAATTGTTAAATTGGTTCCAAATTACTATATATCAGTAAAAGACCTTTAGACTGAAAACAACAGTACTTGAAGAAGATATCAGAAAATGGAAAGATATCCCTTGTTCTTGGTCAGGAAGAACCAATACAATGAAATCTATATAACTTCCAAAATTCTTATATAGGTTTAATGCCATCCCAATCAAAATAGCAACAGCATATCCCACAGAATTAGAGAGAACAATCCTAAAATTAGTTTGGAACCAGAAGAGGCCCACAGTAGTAAAAGCTATTTGGGCAACAAAGGCAAGGCAGGGAGCATCACAATCTCTGACGTGATTTTATACTGCACAGCTATTGTGATAAGAACAGAATGGTACTAGGGAAAAAAAAACAGACCCAAGGATCAATGGAACAGATTAGAAGATGCAGAAACAAGGGGCAGGAGATGTAGCCCAGTGGCGTTGTCCCTACCTGGCAAGGGCAAAGTGCTGAGTTTATATTTCTATAAGAATGGCTATCATCAAAGACTGAAAAGCAAATGCTGGTGAGAATATAAGGAAAAGGAACCCTCTTACATTGTTGATGGGAATGTAGACTAGTACAACCACATGGAGATTTTACAAAAATCTAAAAGTAGAAATTCCATTTGACTCAGCTATATGTCTTCTGGTTATTTTCCCAGAAGAGTTATCACATTCATGATGGAGCCATGATTTCTGTGTCTTGAACCATCAGTGGCACATGCATGACTGTTCTGTGCATAATTGTACCACTTCTACCACCAGTGGTACAAGCCACTGATGGGATACTCAGTAAGATAAATGTGTTTGAAATAAAGGGGGAATGTTTTGAGGTAATTAATGACAATGTGTCTTTTACTATAAGTTTTTAAAATTTAAATATTTGCCATATATTTTTATCAGATCCTGCAAATATCTGTATATCACTGTGCATAGTCAGTTACAATTAGAAGAATTTTTTTTTTTTGCTGTTGATAAAAATAAGGCTGTCTTATCATTGATTTACTTCTTCGTGGTTTAATTTCATAAAGGGTATACTTGAATGGATAACCAGGGAAAATTTTTTTTAAATAGTAGGAATTGCTAGTGGGTGTCACATATTTCATACCAGGAATTAACACAAACTCTTGGTAGAAGATATTTTGCTGAAGATATTTTCTTGAATAGCCTTGCCTTCTTCATACACATAAGTGCGGGTCTAAGTTAATGTTGGCAGGGAGATTGTCTTTCATTTCTTTTTATGTTTGTCAGTAAGTTTTAGCCATACCTCTTTGAAATGTCAATATGGACGTAGGAACATCCCATGTATTATATGTTGGACAGAGTCAGTGATCCTGAAGAGTTACTAGAATTCCCATTTAGAGTCTGATGACCAGAAAGTGCTTAGCAATGAATAGAGGGAAGACTTAAATTTCTAAAGAATAATTGTGGTGTTCCTAAAACATTGTTTATTTTGAGTTTTTTAATTATATTCTAACCAACTCATTTTTCCCCACTCCTATGAATAACTTTTAAAGTCCTTTATGTCAACTTGTATACTATATTTATTTGTATTTAGGATTTCATCTTTTTAAAAATTATATTTTTGGTGCTGGAGAATTGAGCCCAGGGCCTCTGCTAAGTATATGCTCTACCACTGAGCTACACCCCCAGCCTACCCATTCATTTTTTTTTTCTCTCATTGAGTTTATTGGTACATTTTAGGTATACAGTACAGTTACATTCATCATTGGGATCTTGTACCTTTACATGACAGGTCTTGGTTCTCATCTTTTCCCCATACCCCTGCCCTCCCTTCACCCCCTCCTTCCTTTCCTATTTACAAAATACTTTTTTCCATTTTTTTTGTTTTCTCATATTTTTCCTTTCCCCTACCCTTCCTACTTCCCCTACACCTTTAGCCCTTTTCTTCCTATTTCACATTGTCACTTATACCATTTGGATCTTACTTACACTTTTAGTTTTTTGCACCATCATTTTTGACAGATTAGGATTTAATTTGAAAAATAATTGCTGAGTGTCTTATCTGGATGATCATGATCCAAGAATTACTGTTCAGCCTATCAGACTCCTCAGGATTAGAAATTCTCTAAATTTATTTTTTACAGGCTAAGAACTCAAGCTGTGTTTAAGTCGAAGGAACTGGTTGCTGACAAAGAGCTTATTAAACCCCAAGAGCTCAGTTTGAATATAAATGGGAATGACTCTGAACTAAGGTAAACTTAATAGCTGGCTGAAGAGAAGAATATTAATGACATAGATATTCAGAATGATTTCGGTATACATTCATAGCTCTATATTCATTTTACTATTTTTCTCACCATATGAATAAATTGTAATAAATTTTTGAAAAATATTGAAAAGTCTGAGAAAAAAATCATTCATAATCCTACCTCTCAGAGATAATTATTTGAACTGTCTTTTTGTATTTTTCTTTGTATATTGTATTCTAAATTCTATAGGAATTATGCTAAAATAATTTTACTTGTTACTTTCTTCTGTCAGATTTCTCATTAAATAGTTCATTTAAAAAATCTATTAATTCTTTCATTCAACAAATACTTTTTGTGTGGCAGCTATGCACCAATATTTATCTATTAGACTTTTATTAGATAATATAGGATTTTGCTATTATAAATTTTACATTGAAGGAAATTTTTCTAAACAATTTTTTACTTATTTCCTTGGTATATATTACTATAAATGGAATTAACCAAAGTATATAAAGTATATATCAATCTATTTAAGATTCTCAATTTACAATGACTAGTTCTTTTCTATAAAACATTTCATACTCCCAATACTATGTTTAAGTATTCTCTTTATATGAATTTTTAGAAATTTTTGGTCATTATTTTTCACTTTTTGTCTGTTCTTTTTCTCCCTTTCTTTTACTATTCCAATTACATATATATTCAACTTATAGGTACTACCTTATAGGTTCCTGAAACTGCCAGTATGTTCTTGCGTATGTTTATTACAATTCATTAAAGTATTTGTCTGCTTATTCTAATACTTGGATTATGTTTGGGCGTATGTCCTTTAATTAACTTTGCTCTTGCATGTTGGTTGTTTTTCCTGTTTGTATGTTCAGAAATTTTGCATTTATCATAGTCATGGTGAATTACTGTGAAATTCAGTTATATTCCCATAAACAGTGTTTACTTTATTATGACAGCAGACAGTTAACTTCATGGAACTTAAACTGGTCCATCCTGCAGGTCAGGGTCTTTGGGACTAGCTAGACAGTGAGCAGGCCTAGTGCCAGAGGGTAGGGCTGCCAAAGTAGTCTGGAAAGTGCAGAAAGCCTCAGGCCATATGGACTGACCTGGTTCTTGGCTGACTTGGAACCTAGGGTAGGCCTGGAACCCAACAGCTGCAGAAGCTGTCCTGGTACTGGTCAGGCATAGACTTATCTCTGCAGGTGTCAACCTAATGACGAGAGGTACAAGGCCAGCCTCCTGCTAGGTATGATTGAGAGCTAGAAGCTATAGGGGTATATCTGGAACCTGAGTCTGTGAGGACTGGTCTGGTATTTGAACTGTCCCAGGGATGTTGGGGCCAGCCTGGTACTGGATCTAGTAGAGACCATGGGGCTTCTGATGTGGACTGGTGGTGAGGAAGGTATAAAGAAGGCAGGCCTGAACCTGAGCAAGAGAGACCCCACTTGACTCCGGTAGAGCTTAGAAGTTCATATTGAGGGTATCTGCCTAGAGGAGGGTATCTGCCTGAAGATTTTCTGACACCAGGTTTTATGAGAGCCCGGGGCAAAGTTTCATGCTTGAGTCCTCCTTCTTCCTCCACAGAGAAGGTACCTTTCCACTGTTTTGCTTTGAATTGGAGTGGGGAGTGATGCTGGTAATGTAAAATCATCACACTTACCCTCTTCACTGCTTATTTCTCTGCTTCAGCCAGGTGCTATAATCTCTCACCTAGTTTCATTATGTCTTTTGATGGTATTTCATATCTGGATACTTGTTCACATTGATGTTTCTAAAGTAAGGAGAGAGCACATGAAACTTGCTGATGACTGTCCTCCAAGTGGTTTTGACTATTTTAGATGTTATTTCTTTTATTTGTTCCTTCTAGCATTTGTATGGATATTTCTGAATAGCTAACTTACATGGTCATTAAGTAATTGACTTTCTACTGTGGAAGATTATTTAGTTCTCATTGATATTTGCTCTCTTTGTTTCTTCCTTTTTTCTTCCCTCCTTCTGTGACCTCCCTTTTTTCTTTAATCTCCTGCCTTTCCACTTTATTAGAATTCACCCATGCTCTTTCCTACTGTCCTCTCAATATAAATGATTATAAAATTTGTGTATAGCTGAACTATTATTAAGTTTAATTTTTGTGTAATAAATTTTCCTTTGTGCTTTAAAATGTGTTATTTAGCACATAAAAACAAATATTGCATGCTCTGACTTGCATTTGTGGAATCTAAAAAATTTGAACTAATACAAGCAAGAAATAGACTGGTGGTTGTCAGAGCAGAAGGGTAGGAAGAATGGAGGATGTTGGTCAGAGAACAGTTTCATTTAGGCAGGATGAATGAATTTTCTAAGAGAGTATATATCACTTTAAGGGCCAGGGATTTAGCTCAGTGGTGGTGCCACCTGCCTCTTTCAAGCACAAGGTCCTGAGTTTGATCCCCAGCACCAAAAAAAAAAAAAAAATCAGTATATCACTTTAAAATAAGTATATAGGGTGATGGATATTTTAATTAGTTTGATTAGATAATTTCATAATAGATACATATATCAAAATATCATACTATACGTTATAAACATATGTAATGTTTGTCACCTTAAAAGTTTTTTTAATAAAACAAAAAAGCCTTAATTTCTATATACTCATCCATTCATTCACTCACGTATTTATAAAGTTTGCCACTATTTGCCAGGCATCTAGACTTTGGGGAAATAGCACTACACAAAACAGACCAAAATTTGGGAACTTTTAAACTTACATTCTTATGTCTAATCATTTCTATATCCATCAAGAAATTATTATTCTCTTAAATTCTGTCCATCACTTGTTCTATCATACTTCTTTTTTTATATCTTTTCTTCCTTTTTTCTTTTTCTGTCTTTAGAGATTGAACCCAGGGCCTTCAGGCTGAGCTGCAAACCCACCCCACCCCAATTTTCTTATTTTTTACTTTGAGACAGGATCTTACTAGGTTGTCAGGGGTTGGCTTAAACTTGTGAACATTTTTCTTAGTGCTGAGGGTAGTTTTTGAAATTTCTTCTGTTTCTAGAACAGTGTTTCTATTTTTGTTCAAGTTTTGTTTTTCAACAAATGTCTGATGACTCCTTTATATTTACAAGGAAAATAGTAAAAGCTAGTGAAAACTCTCAGCATATATTAGCAGGGTTTGTCAGCTGATAGGCTTTATTGTAACCATGCAGAAACCTTGGGGCCTACTGCCTGTTACTTCCCATTGGTCTTCTGGGTGGTCACTTCTCCTAGGGATAAATTGTGTGCATAGGAAGGAAAAAGGGATGGGAGCGTTGTATAATCTTAGTTGCTGTTTTTGTCATATTTCTGTTACCATGACAAAATCAACTTAAAAGAAGGAAAAGTTTATTTTGCCTCACATTTTGGAGATTTCACCCCATGGTGGGCTGAGTTCTGTTTTGTGGCCTGTGATGAGATCAGACATCATGGTGGGGAGCACTTGACTGGGAAAAGCTGCTCACCTTGTGGTGACCAGAAAGCAAAGAAAGAAAAAGGATGCAGATCTCAGTATCCCCTTCAAGGACACGTTCGACAGTGATGTAACCTCCTCCTACTAGACTCCATCTCCTAAAGGTTCTACCACCATATGGACCATTGGGGGAAACATTTAAGAAGCAAATAGGATCAACTTCCAATGTGGGTTGCCCAGTGAAAGAAGGGAAAAGAGACCTATCAGTCATTATTATGTAGACTTTGACCAAATCCTCCTTTTAACTATATTTCTGGCTCATCTATATTTCTGGCTCTCAAATCTAGAATGATTCATTTCCAGCCCCTCCCTGGGTTAACCCACTTAGTCTTCATTCCCAGATGGGGCAGGTATATGAGGGCATCTTGGTTTTTTACTTCTCTATATGCTTTCACCCAGTTGTGCTTGCCTCCCTATTGCATTCCTACCAGCCTTGAGCCTTTCAGGAGTTCTCTGGCATGTTTCAGCTTACCTTCTCCTTCACCATAGCTAGCAAACATTTCATTTTCTATTTTTGTAGTTGGCTAATTGAGCTTCAACATCTGCTTTCCATGTTTCTAAAATTTTGTAATACATGTCATCTGTTGTCTTCTCTTCATTTTTCTGCAGCCACATAGGTTTATATGTTTATTATCCTTTTACTATTCATTTTTAGCATTTCAGGAAAAAGGTGTTTTCTCAGTCACACAAATTGGTGCTATAATGTTGTTATGAACAATTAAACCCTTGGCAGTTTAATAAGTGGAAAGATAGAATCCTATTGTGATTTGTACTTTCGTAATATTCAACTCAGAAAAACATTTTTTTATGTCTTTATTAACCCTTTGCTTTTCTTCTTTGTAGAATTTCCATTTCCTGGGTGACTCCACATTTTTATATAGGAGCATTATTTTTCCTCCTTAGTTGATATGTAACAACTTTTTTTATATTTGTTTCTTAGATTTTTTATTAATGCTTTTCATGTTTATTTTTACCCATTTACTTTCTTGCTTGCTCATGGTATAAGAACATATGCTGATAAGCCCCCCCAAAAAAGAAATAAAATTTACCCATTATCTTATCTAGAGGTAATCTTAGTATAAAACTTCTAAATTTTATTTGTAAGTAAATGTGTGTTTATATTATACATTTTGTTTCATAATCCATCTTAAAATATTTCTGATTAAAAGTCATCTTAAAATATTTTTGATTAAAGGAGGTTACAGGCCAAGGAATGTAAGTAGGAGCCTGGGAACAATCTCAGCTAACAGCTAATAGAGACGTCAGTCCTTCTACTAAAAGGAATTGAAATCTTCCAACAACTCAAATGAGCAAGGAAATGACTGCTCTCCTAAGGGCCTCCAGAAAGGAACACAGCCCTGCCAACACCTGGATGTTAGCCCAGTTAGCTCTGTGAGACCCATGTCAGACTTCTGACTTACAAAAGAGCAAAATTGTAAATTTCTGGTAAGCCAGTTTGTTGTAGCAGCAATAGTAAATGAACACAAATGCCTACCCATTACTTAT